CTTATACGTTCAGGGTCATTTTTCAAAATGATTTTAAATTTCTTTAAACAGGCAGCATATTTTTATCTTGTTTTGTTCATTGCTGTCGAATTGGGCCATTGACAACTACATCCTCATACAAAAGCACTTGCTTATGTTGCTTTTGCTTCATAATGTTTTGAACTGAGATCTCTGTCCTGCCGTCTAGTACTGTTGTAACTCATTTTTGTGGACATGCTCATTATAGGAATTGTAAATGATAGAAAAGATGAATACAGATTCATTCAGTACAAAACAGAAGGCTTAATTTTCTGTAACGTAACCTCAAAACTGATAGTATTCATCCATAAATGGAGAATTAAAAGGGAAGATATCTTCCTTCAGTTCCTTTACTGACTTATGATCTTAAAAGCACTGGTATTTTTAATCACTTAATCATACAAATTACAATCATGTGCTTTATTTCTGCTTTACATTGGCTGAATTCATATGTCAAGATAGACTATTTTAAAATAGTTACATGTTAATCAGTGTGATTAATATATAGTTCAGTGTGTCACATAAACTCAGAAAGCTAACTTATAACAATTATAAGTATATAAGTATATTTTGCAAACATATAGGTCAGTTTTCCCCTTTATGGATTACTGCCTTGTCGTGGCGAAGGGGCTTGCGTAACTCAATGAAGCTATAAGCTATGCCGTGCAGGGCCACCCAAGACGGACAGGTTATAGCAGAGAGTTCTGACAAAATGTGATCCACTGGAGAAGGAAATGGCAAACCACTCCAGTATCTTTGCCATGAAAACCCCATGGACAGTACTAAAAGGAAAAAAAGATATGACGCTGGAAGATGAGCCCCTCAGGTCGGAAGGTGTCCAATATGCTACTGGGGAAGAGCAGAGGGCTAGTACTAGTAGCGCCAGAAAGAATGAAGCGACTGGGCCAAAGCCGAAAGGAAGCTCAGCTGTGGATATATCTGGTGGTGAAAGGAAAGTCCGATGCTGTAAAGATTTTTTCTCCATAGGAACCTGGAATGTAAGATCCATGAATCAAGGCAAGCTAGACGTAGTCAAAAAAGAGATGACAAGAATGAACATCGACATCTTAGGAATCAGCGAACTAAAATGGACAGGAATGGGTGAATTTAACTCAGATGACCATCAGGTATACTACTGTGGGCAAGAATCCCTCAGAAGAAATGGAGTAGCCTTCATAGTCAATAAAAGAATAGGAAAAGCAATACTGGGATACAATCCCCAAAATGACAGAATGATCTCAATTCGAATCCAAGGCAAACCATTCAATCTCACAGTAGTCCAAATCTATGCCCCAACCACTGGTGCTGAAGAGGATGAAATTGACCGGTTCTATGAAGCCCTACAGCACCTTATAGAATTAACACCAAAAAATGATGTCCTTATCATCATGGGGGATTGGAATGCTAAGGTAGGAAGCCAAAAGATAACCGGAATAACAGGCAAGTTTGGCTTTGGAGAACAAAATGAAGCAGGGCACAGGCTAATAGAATTTTGTCAAGAGAATACGATGGTCATAACAAACACTCTTTTCCAACAACCCAAGAGACGGCTCTACACATGGACATCACCAGACGGTCAACATAGAAATAAGATTGACTATGTACTCTGCAGCCAAAGATGGAGAAGCTCTATACAGTCAGTAAAAACAAGACCAGGAGCTGACTGTGGCTCAGATCATGAGCTTCTCGTTGCAAAATTTAGGATTAAATTGAAAAAAGTAGGGAAAAGCACTAGGCCACTCAGGTATGAACTAAATCATATTCCTGATGAATATACAGTAGAGGTGACAAATAGATTTAAGGAACTGGATCTGATAGACAGAATGCCTGAAGAACTATGGATGGAAGTTCGCAACATGGTACAAGAGGTAGCAACTAAAACCATCCCAAAGAAAAAGAAATGCAAGAAAGCAAAATGGCTGTCTGAGGAAGCTTTGCAAATAGCTGAGGAAAGAAGGGAAGCGGAAGGCAAAGGAGAAAGAGAAAGATACACCCAATTGAATGCAGAATTCCAGAGAATAGCTAGAAGAGATAAGAATGCCTTCTTAAATGAACAGTGCAAAGAAATAGAAGAAAACAACAGAATAGGGAGGACCAGAGATCTCTTCAAGAAAATTGGAGATATGAATGGAAAGTTTCATGCAAAGATGGGCATGATAAAGGACCAAAATGGCAGGGACCTAACAGAGGCAGAAGAGATTAAGAAGAGATGGCAAAACTACACAGAAGAACTATACAAGAATGAGCTTAACATCCCAGATAACCACAATGAGATGGTCATTGACCCCGAACCAGACATCCTAGAATGTGAAGTGAAATGGGCCTTAGAAAATCTGAGCAACAACAAAGCTAGTGGAGGTGACAGTATTCCAGCTGAGCTATTCAAAAATCTTAAAAGACATGCAGTAAAAGTGCTACACTCAATTTGCCAGCAAATTTGGAAAACTCAACAGTGGCCACAGGATTGGAAAAGGTCAGTTTACATTCCAATTCCAAAGAAAGGCAATGCCAAAGAATGTTCAAATATCGCACCATTGCACTCATTTCACATGCTAGTAAAATTATGCTTAAAATCCTACAAGCTAGACTCCAGCAGTATGTGGATCGAGAACTACCAGAAGTACAGGCAGGATTTCGAAGAGGCAGAGGAACTAGAGATCAAATTGCCAACATACGCTGGATCATGGAGAAAGCTAGGGAATTCCAGAAAAACATCTACTTCTGCTTCATTGACTATGCAAAAGCTTTTGATTCTGTGGATCACAACAAATTGTGGCAAGTTCTTAAAGAGATGGGAGTACCAGACCATCTCATTTGTCTCTTGAGAAACCTATATGCGGGTCAAGAAGCAACAGTGAGAACTGGACACGGAACCACTGATTGGTTCAAATTGGAAAAGGAGTCCGGCAAGGCTGTATACTGTCGCCCTGCCTATTTAACTTATATGCAGAGCACATCATGAGAAAGGCAGGGCTAGATGAATCAAAAGTTGGAATTAAGATTGCCGGGAGAAATATCAACAACCTAAGATATGCAGATGATACCACTCTAATGGCAGAAAGTGAAGAGGAACTAAAGAGCCTCTTGATGCGGGTGAAGAAGGAGAGTGCAAAAGTTGGCTTGAAACTCAACATTAAGAAAACCAAAATCATGGCATCCGGCCCTCTCAATTCCTGGCAAATAGATGGGGAAGAAATGGAGGTAGTGACAGATTTTATTTTTCTGGGCTCCAAGATTACCTCAGATGGAGACTGCAGCCAAGAAATTAAAAGACGCTTGCTCCTGGGGAGGAAAGCTATGGCAAATCTAGACAGCATTCTAAAAAGCAGAGACATCACCCTGCCAACAAAAGTGCGTATAGTCCAGGCCATGGTTTTCCCAGTTGCAATGTATGGCTGTGAAAGTTGGACCATAAGAAAGGCTGAGCGCAAAAGAATTGAGGCCTTTGAACTGTGGTGCTGGAGAAGACTCCTGCGAGTCCCTTGGACTGCAAGGCGTTCAAACCGGTCGGTCCTAGAAGAGATCAACCCCGACTGCTCTTTAGAAGGCCAGATCCTGAAGTTGAAACTCAAGTACTTTGGCCACCTAATGAGAAGGAAGGATTCACTGGAGAAGAGCCTAATGCTGGGAAAGATTGAGGGCAATAGAAGAAGGGGACGACAGAGAATGAGATGGCTGGATGGAGTCACTGAAGCAGTAGGTGTGAATTTAAATGGACTCCAGAAGATGGTAGAGGACAGGAAGACCTGGAGGAATGTTGTCCATGGGGTCGCGATGGGTCGGACACGACTTCGCAATTAACAACAACAACAACAAGGTCAGTTTTTCTTGGGAAAATGTATTGCTTGGATTATACATCACAAAAACCCACAGTTTATTTAATGACCAGTTGTTGCATAAACCATAGTTAGCAGACTCACACAGCATTAAGCCATATTACGGTTTTATGCAATGTATAAACCCAAGTAATTGAACTATTAAATGATTACATGAAAAATAAGAATAAATAAGAACTGTATTAAATCTCTTAATTAAGAATTTGTATTCCAGCCTTTCTCATGAATGTAAGAAAATGAAAATGTCAGAAAAAGAGTTTTCATTCTTATGTATATTTATAAAACTGTCAGAAATCTATATAAAGGATGAATTTTAGCAAACAGAACAACTCTTTGATTCCCATTCATTGTGAGTCAAGTGAGTCCCATTCATTGAGCATGCTGATTTATTACCAGGGTACTATAATATATCTTTCATTATATAAAATGAAAATGGATTTTTTTTATGATTCAAGATGAAGCTTATGGAGAAGGAAAATAGATTGCAATAGTTTTATTTCTCATCAGAATTGGTCAGAGCAGATCTTGGCAACATGTTGAAATTTATACTGTGGTTAACCAATATTAGAAAATTCAAGGAAGTGTAAGAAAAGTACTGGATAATTTAAAACAGGAAAGCTTCTTTTATCGCTTGCAATGTATAATGCTTTAGTTTTTGTCTGTTTGTATTTTGGTGTTGCTTACATATATTTTCTTTACAATATTTATTTATCAGGATCTGAGCATTTCAATAGAAATCCGTTATTGTAGTTTAGATATCCAGTTCTGAGGTATGATTGTGTTCATATGATGTCCCTAACCATGGTTAATTTATTCATAGTTTTCTCAGTTAATCCAGTTATCTGTGTTCATACTGTATGTACATATTTATGTACTGTATATATAAACTACGGTAATGCAAATACAAAATGAAGCTACAAGTGGGATGTAAAGTTTTGGAACCAAGTTGAATCTGTATTCTGCCTACAAAGTCATACCTTTTAAAGTGGACATGAATAGACTTTTGATGTCTATAGGCTACACTTGGATATTTCTAATAAATTAAGAAACTATTAATATTCAAAATGTGTATCCATATTAATAATCTTTTTTGTTGTATGTTGAAAAATATTGGTTTTAACGTTTTCTCTCTTTTTTTTTCAATAGATATGCACTGCTGAGGAAGTCCAAAGAGAGGCAAGAATTGGATGGCCTCAATAATTTGAACTATTTTCCAAATATTACATATGATTCTTTGTATAAAAACATAACTATCAATCTATCACCAGAGCTGGCTCTGGTGAGTGAATACTAAGAGAATATGAGAAGAGAATGTCAAGAGATGGTTTTATAGATGTCTCCTGGACAAAAATAATCTTGTGTCTAATGAAGGATCACAGTATTTTGAAGAATAATTTTCAAAAATACGCACAGAGATCATCAGAGTGTAGACATATTCACACTGTCAGTGAGTTTGGACTTGACTTGCTTTTTGATTTCGTTTTAAAAAGAACAATGGTGTGACCTGCTGCTTTTGTCCCAGCATTCCATTTCTTTAAGCAATCTCCAGTAACAAATAGAGATTGAATGTGCTTTCCTGCTGATAAAACCAGTTTGGCTAAAAAAAATAATAATAATAATCTTGGATTCTTGACGTAGGGTGCTGGAAGCTATCCTGTAAGCTATGATCATTATTGGAGATGAACTGCCACCTAACAGTGACTCCATTCTTTTGCATTTGTGTTTGCATTGGTTTTCTAATTGACTTGCTTGAAGGAAAAAAGATATATATATCTATCTATCTATATATATATATATCTATATATACACAAAATCACTTCTTAAAGAAGTATAGATGTAGATAAGCTGTATAAATTACTTTCCTTTATTTTTTAAAAAACACAGTTCAAAACTGAAGCTGAAGGTTTACAACTTAGCATAACTCAAGTAAGCCCTCAATTGCAAGCACTTCAGTACATCAGGATGACACTCATGCAAGTAATTCTCTTCAGGGCTATTTAAGCAGTTATTTGTGGGATTGAGACTTTGTCATTTCATTGGTTAGTTTGGAAACAATACTAGTGTTTATTGGAGAAGGAAAGTTAATTTTATTCATGAAAGTGCAAAAGCCAATTGCATTTTGGGGAATTGCATAGTCTTTCTGGATTGTTGATTTTGTTTTGTTTTTTGTGACCCACTGCATTTTATCTCCATATTCCAAACAGACAGCATAACATCAGAGAAAATATCTCCCTGTTTCATCTTTGTAAAGGACAAAAAGTCTCCGGAGAGTTAACCAAGTTTCCACTTTGTTTGGTTAAAGTTTGCAAATCATTCAGTCTGTTGTTGGAAAAGTCTATACTGATTTCTGTAACTTTAATGGAGGGGAATATGAATAATATTTTGATATATTTATTGTGTAAATGAAATTGAACTAATATAGACTAAAACTGTAGGTTGAAGTTCTTGGGTATGATTATTAACCAGAGAAAACATTGCACAAGTACTGGGATAAATGTATCCAGACTCCAACTCTTAATTAAAAGAATGAAGGGCATTGAGATTAGTTTTTTAAAAAATGTGAATATCAGGCAGAATTGGTTGGTCCATAATCTCTATCTAGTTTTCATTTTAACCTACCATAATAGGTTTGTGCCTTTGTTTTGTTTTGTTTTTCTGGTTTAAAACCAGTCCCATCTGTTTATATAGCATGTACAGACTTTTTTAAACCGGGGTATTTACTCTGGTAAAACAAATTGTTCTTTAATATATATTTATAGACAGAGTTTAATGTGAAAAGTACTTTAATCTCTTTGATTGCATTTTTGCCTTCAGTTGCTTTAACTTGTATAGGTGTTGTTTTTTTTAAGATATTGGGTTTGGTAGATATATGACCCCCCATAGATAACTGTTGTGGAGGTGATTAACCAGACCTATTTTCTTGGATCTTGAGGGTTATGAAGAGGTGTGTGTTTGTGTGTGAGAGAGAAAGCACATGTGTGCATCTTATCAGCTGATGATGAAAGTACAGTTGGTCTGTTCTTGAATTTGCTGATAAGTAGGCTTTAAAATGTTTCATAATAAAACCTTTATGGTTGCTGCAGAGGTAATAACTTAGCTTTTATTCTTTTAATGGCACATGAAGCAATAAAGACTTCTGCATTTTGATAATTTTCAGTTGTGAATAATTCATATATATTTTTTTCTTTTCTTTTTTTTTAAAACTTGGAAGTCTAGTAGAAATTAACATTTTATTTAATGGTGCTTCAGTTGAAAATGTGTTTCATCTGTCTTAATTCACCTTGACATTTCCAAACAGCTATTTGGCAGTGATGCCCTGCCTCACACTTACACACACACAAACACTTTAAAAATAGATTGTGCATCCTTCTACTACACCCTCTAAATTACCTCTGCTAAGAAATGCACTTGTTGAAGATGGTGTGAAAGAGTCAGTTTTACTTCTTAATAGTTCTGGATTGATTCCCCCCCCCCCCAAAAAAAACTTATTTTCTTGCCCTTCCTTTAAAAGTGTGGAATATCTTTTAAATGTGCACTGTTGCTCTTATCAGATAAATCAGCTATTGTATGGTAAATGTACTTGTTGGAAACATAACTGTCAAGCTCATGTGTTGTTACGGTGTTTTTAAAAATCATTTAAAATGTGTACATTAATAGCTGACATTTCAACAGAGTGCTCCCCATTTCCATCAGCACCGTCAGCTAATATTGCTAAGGGATAGAATGCTATCATTACAAAAATGTATGTTTTATATGAGCCGTGTGGATCTTTATTTGCTAAAACCTCTTCTTTTTTTTGTAAAAACTGTTTTATAATCAGTTTAACATCTGAGCAACCACTGTGCATTGCCAAACATCTACTGTCAAAGATAGAATTGAATCATATGTAATTTCTTTCTTTCTGTTGTTTTGAGCTTCTCTGTGTTTTCTATGAAGCTCCAGGGGTATATTTTTGCACTGAAATCTAGTGTTAAAACACACAATTTTCAGCAAAGCAATTCATTGTATCATTGCATTTATTCACCTGTGTGTTTGTACATTTTTGTATTTGTTAACTTATGAGTGATTTTTTTCAGTAAAAAGAATACATATTCAAGAACTAAGAAATGTAATGATGTTGCTTTATTTATGAGTTACTAACGTGCAATTCAGTGGAATGAAGAGCCAGATTTATAAGCAAGCCTAAGGCACAATTGGATTAATTTTACAATTTAAAAAAGATAATGTTTTTAGATTGTTAATTATTTCACTCAGTTTCCTTTTCATTATAGAAATCAACACATGAACTTTATTAAACAAATTTATATGAAATTTAACTTTCAAATTTCAGCTTTTAAATAAAAAATTGCTTCATTTTTTTAAATTACTCATTGTTCAGACAATCTCTTAGATAATTTCAGTAGAATGTATAAAATAGAAAAGGCTTTTACTATTCCCTGAAGTTTAATTTATCAATGATTATTGTCTTTGCCAATCTATGTTACTGAAATTTTAAATTGGACCAACCAGATATTTAAAAGGTATCTAGTTTATTCCCAACGTTTTCAGAAGCACCTTTTTTTGAAAGGATCTAAAGTAGTACAGTTCCAGTTCATAGCACTTACATATACACACACACATACACACACACACACACAAACATATATATGTGTATGTATGTATGTATGTTTTCTGAGGTTTTCGCGGGTGTTTGTATGTAGGTCTTTGGTTATTCGGGTTTTCTCCCGCGTAAAATTGGAAGTGCCTTGGCGACATTTCGACGAAGTCACATTCGTCATCTTCAGGCTGGTATTTTCGGCTTCGTGCTTCTAGGAGCAATGTGTGATCATAGCTGTTTCTTCCTTTTAACCCCCACTGGCAGTGAGTTATGACCATTTTTAACACGACTGTTGCAGCATCCCCATGGTCTCATGATCAGAATTCAGATGCTTGACAACTGACTCCTGTTTATGACAGTTACAGTGTCCCAGTGTCATGCAATTCCCTTTCACGACCTCCTGACAAGCAAAGTCAATGAGGAAGCCAGATTCACTTAACAGCCATATTACTTAACAACTGCAGTGATTCATTTAAGAGCTGTGGCAAGAAATGGGGCAAAACTCACTTAACAACTGTTTTGCTTAGCCACAGAGATTTTGGGCTCAGTTGTAGTCGTAAATCGAGGACTGCATTAAGTTAAAGATGAGTTGGGCTATTTGCGTACACAATTTCTTGATGCTAAGCTCTTTTCTGACTCCAGAGACTGGCATGAGAAGGGATTAGCCTGTCTCGGTTTAATACTTTGGGAGTTTAACTAATCAGATTATCTAGCAATATGGATGTAATTAGAAAGGTTCTATTAGCTTATGGAGGCTTGTGTATTTTTATCATTTCTCTTTTCTCAGCTGATGTTTTGTATGAGTTATTTTACTTGGGAAGGAAAAAAAAAGCTTGTTTTCAAATTTTGCAGAGCTCTTTTTTTCACTCATGCCTATTTTTTGCTTTCTGCATTTTCCCATTCACACATTGAAATGCTTTATGTTGCATTTAAATTGTAATATCTATCTATCTATCTATCTATCTATCTATCTATCTATCTATCTATCTATCTATCTATCTATCTATCTATCTATCTATCTATCTCATGGTAATAATGATCAGCTAACACCTGTGACTTTAGGAAACTGAATAAGCCAAAGAGATACACAAATACTATGTACCACGGTGCCAACCATAGATAACAATGTCAAGGTATCTATTAGAGAAAAGAAAGCTTACTCCAAAAAACAAGCAAAACTTGCACAAAGAAGAAAATAAAATATTTTGATAAGTTTCACAATGGAGACCAACAGCAGTTACAAAGAAATTAGCATATCCAAAACAGGTGCTATCAAGACAATGAGATTTCTAGGAGGTGGGAGATTTGTTTGTATAATTTTGCTGCAAAAGAATTAAGACAGCTATCTGCGCCTGAACTAGTTAATTCAACATGCAATTAAAATGAGAAATAAAGTTTTAGATCAGACATAGGTACCTGTGGCCAATGTTAGATAATTATTAAGCAACTTGGAGCACTTTGGAATACCCTGTTATTAACACTGCACACAATGAAAATATTTAGGAAGAAATTATTTCAGAACTCATGCAAGCAGCGCACCCCTCTCTGTTACTTATCCAAAACATGCTGCTGTTTTAAGCTCCGTGCATTCTGTGTGTCAACTTAGTGCAACTCTTTAAGTAGCAACGTTTTTTTAATCTCGTGAAAAAAATAGACTGCTTTAATAAATGGCAGAAAGGTATAATGTTCAAACATTATAAAGTCTTGTAAATAATATGTCTTCTACACCAATAAATTTCATTTTTCAGGATGTGGCTTGAATGGCTGCCAAGCTCTCTCTCTGTTAACCTGTTACTGATTTCCTTTTTGCTTTCTGCATTCCAGGGTCTGCAGGAATGCAAAAGATTTTACTACTAGCTTCAGGGTAGTTTGGAGGGATTGGGAAGTGTGTAAAAGTGATCTCCATGTGTCATCTGTTATCCTAGCTGTCTAAGAAAGTGACTTTAAAATGGGCTTGACCATAAGGAGACTCAGACTTAATCCCTTAGAAGTTACTGATTGCCTAAGTGAAGCATATTATGTACTGACATAGTAAATTCTGTAAAATGACTAATACTAAGCTCCAATATAGTTAGATTTTATTTAGTATGAAATATAAACTCACCCAAGGCTTTTTTTTTAATCAAAGAACACACATAACGGAGTTCCGACACCTTTTTTGGATGGAACCTTGTAGGATAGGCAAGGAGGGTTGTAGTTAAGAAGAGGCAAGGTTGAAATTGATTATGGTTGGTCAGAATCAGCCTGATGTTTATACTGGATCTCTCTTATAGTGAGATAGTGCTTATATTTGATACTACAATATTGGCATCTTTTAAAACTTGTGCTAGGTGTTTCTTTGTAACGTGACAATGCAGATAACATAGTTTTTGTGCTGCTCTAGATTTTCAGTTATTTTTTGTTTCAATTCCTGTTGTTGTTTTCCTAGAGGGCTTTCCTTTTTCTGAGGGGAAAGCAGAGAGATAGTTTGAGAATGGAAATGATTCAATAGCTAGTCCTTTACTGCTGATTCTCTGTAGTTTGCCTCTACAATCAGAGCTACTTGTGGCAAGGCTTCAGTTTCTTTACCCTGGGTAGATCTTTGCAGTTTAATTCTATCTCTGTAAATACTTTATTTCTATACTATGCTAAAATAATAAATTGACATTGATGTGCTAGTTTCTCCATCAGGATGGCTGTAGAGTCCAATGGATGGGTTCTATGACAGTCTTCCTGCCCGGCAGACTGGGTAAAAACTTTGGCCACACTCTTCCCTTGGGCGTGACCCCAGTTTTGACTCAGTCTCGAAGCCCGTTAGCAGCTAAAAATTCAGCTCCTGACAAAAGATTTCTATTACCTAAAGCCCTCTCTCTTTACAAAAGCAACAATTTGATTAGCAAGCTCACAGGGAGGCAGGTTTCCCTTCTTCCTTCAGCCTTGGCTCGGGGCTCCGAGCAGCTGACGGATCGCCATTCGGTGAAGGCGTCGTCGCAGAAGTGGTGAGAGTATCAAAAAAATATATATATAGCCGAGGGAAGCTGCGAGAGGCAGCGGAGAAGCACCGCTGACCTATATTTACTAGGATCAGCTGGGGCGCACGAAACCGAAGCCGCCAGACAGCGGGAGCCGCGTCGCCGGGATTAGGGAGATTCTCGGCCAAAGGCAACGCGGCCATTGTGCGAGCACTAGATTCCCTGGGGAAGAGCGGTCTACGCCCGGGGGGCTCGTTAAAACAACTATAAAACTACCCTCTGCCGTCCCAACGCCTCCCCTGCCGGCGGAGTGTCCGTTGGGCCAAAAACCGCCATTTTGAGCGGCGGAGCAGCCATTGGAGCTCGATCCGCCATCTTGAGCCTCGTGGTTCTCCTTGGCAGTGAGTGGGAAGGCGTGGCTTCCACCAAGTCTCCATCTTGGGGTGTTTCCCTCATTCACATAGCCTCCATTTTAGGTGGCCATATTCTGGAAGGTCTCCACAGAAGACAGAGTGAAAGAGAAGGAGAGAGGAAAGTTTATTAGCACACCCAGTGGACTGTCTTTACAGCCACATAGTGGGGAACTTATATTTACAACTCCATCGAACCATTGCCCTCTAATCCGGGCCATTATATTTGCCATCGGTGAAGGAGAGGGAGGAAATAAATTTGGTCCACTGTTCCTCAGAGTGACCTTTAGTCACTGCCCCACAGGATCCTCCTGACAAGGGACCTATCTGTCCGGCCATTGTTTTTTCTTCTGTGCAGAATAAGCCTTGCAGGCTTGATTTATCTGCAACCGATCTGCGTACAATTTATTCCCCACCCCAGGTATTGCCTATTCGGGATACCTGGTCACAATGGCAGACAATGTCTCGCATTCAGCTATGCAGGGCCCCCAATTGCCCCCCCACAACAACAAAAACGCAGATCCTCAGAACCTGAGGTGGGGGGGGGAAGAAGAAGGCTAAAACAAAGCACCTGATCCAAAGGGGTCCATCCAAAACAGCTGAGCAAGAGGCATCGAGGAGACATTTGGCTCTAGAAAGACAATTTGCCAGGGCCCAGAAAACCAATGCCAATGGGACAAGCATGGTTTCCTCTGTCCCATTGGTGGCCCCTAATACAGAACCTACTTCCCAGGAAGTTCTCAGGACTTGGTCTCCTCCGGGGGAAACTGAACAGTTGGACTCCTCCCGATCCTCTTCACCTGCCTCTTCACCAGACCATACTCCCACTGTGGCTGCGTCCACGGACAGACCTCAGGAGGACATATGGTCTGCCCAATTTCAGGCATTCATGCAGGATGCCTTTTCCCAGTTTATGACCTCTAAGGGCCAAGTAACCTTTCATCCATCCCTTAAAGGACGAAGTAAGGTTCCGGCTACAAACATTTCTGAAACTTCCTCTCAAATAGGAGAGGGAGAATTACTAGACCTAGACATGTCTGATATGCCCCTCTCGGAGGACGAGGGGACCGCTCCTGAGCAGGCAACAAGCTCTGACCTCTTTGATCCAGCTCTTCTAAAATCTCTTTTGATAAAGGCAATC